CTTTGGTGAATTCACACATTTGGGTTTCCTGGTTTCTCAGAGGCATCCGGGCCCAAAAACCTCTTGCAGCTTGGACTTGAGGCTCCAACTGCCAGAGAGGCAGCTAACTCCCAGGGCCTGTGAATGCCCCCATGCTGGCCCAAGTTCCCCACCAGCCTGGGAGTCTGACCACGCCAGAGAGTTCGTGGCCCCTCTCCCACCTCCCCCACACCTGGGACTCCTGGTTCTCAGTATGGCTCCTGATGAGCCCGGGGTCCCAGGCCAGAGTCAGACCAACACTCAAGGCTGGAGAGGAAGGGACGGCGACACCCATCTTCAGGTGGGTGCGCCTGCAGGGCACCTGGGAAAAACACAGCGAGATCAGGACAAAGGCCAGGCAGCCAAGCAGCTAGCGCATACTTTCAGACACCCACGTAGAAGAGTGCGTAAGTCTTATGTGCACAGCGCAATGAATTCCCACCCGCCTAGATCACATTTCAGGACAGCGCCAGCATCCCAGAGAGCCTGCTGATATCTAAGAGCCAATTTTAAAAGTATGTTTTTTTTCTGAATGCGTGAATCACCCACCTGATTTAAATTCAAAGGGAACAAAAGGTTAGGAGGTGAATGCACTTTCCCTGCCCCAGGTACTCAGATCCCTGCTCAGCTCACCTAACTGCCGGGTCTGCGGTCAGCAGGAGGTCCTGGGGACAGAGGAAAGCAAGGCGGGGCTCTCCACATCTACAGCCCTGATGGAGGCTGTCAGTGGAGGGGTTGCAAGTGGCTGTAGAGGGGGCAGCGTGCCCAGGGACAGCAGAACAAACAACCCACATTCGTTAGATGGTGCTGGACAACAGAGAAGGCTGAGAGCCCCTCCCTCATGTTCGGGGTCGACCTCAGAGAAGCCCCTCCCTCTATCACTGCAGGACTCACCTTCCCTCTGCGCTTCAGCAGTGATGAGCTCAACCTCCTGTCCCCACTGATCCATCCAAACAAACTCTGGTTTGGCTTCTCTCCTCCCCCTACCCGTGAACTTGGCCTCCTCAGCCTGAGCCAGCAGATAGCCCCTCCTGGAGCAGGCTGGCCTGGGAGAAAACCTCTACCCCCCGCCCCCCAATCCTGTTCGTTGCCGTAGAAGAGAGACCTTCGCCAGCCCCTGAGATGCTGCACATCTTGCATATCTCACGTCAGAGCATTGTTCTCCCAACGTTGATGCCCATCCCCTCTGCAATAATCCTTTCCAATGAGTCTCACCTTACTCCGTCCAGATTTGGTTTACATTTGACCATTCCCTCCCTGTGGATTCGCAGCCTAACTCAGGGACTAAGCCGAGCCCCGAAATACCAGTGAAACAGGAGCAGCTTCCATGGAACAAGTGGGACCTCCAGGCCTCGGCTCCGTGGCTCTGTGAGAGGGAGGCAGGGCTGTCCCAGGAGAAATGTTACTGCAACTAGAGGAGTGGGGTGGGGACAGCTGTCATGTTCAGGGACACCCAGCAGGACAGAGTTGGGGGGGGCCCCTTTGGACACATTAGGAAAACACTCACTCACTAGCCCAGTGATGGCGAACCTATGACACACGTGTCAGAGGTGACACGCAAACTCATTTTTTTGGTTGATTTTTGTTAAATGGCATTTAAATAGATAAAATAAATATCAAAAATGTAAATCTTTGTTTTACTGTAGTTGCAAATATCAAAAAATTTCTATATGTGACACGGCACCAGAGTTAAGTTAGGGTTTTTCAAAATGCTGACACGCTGAGCTCAAAAGGTTCGCCATCACTGCACTAGGGAAATCAGCTTGGTGGGTTGTGCAAACACCCTCAGGGTGAAGAGCTGCCCCCTGCAACCTCGGCGGGGAGACCAAGTCCAACCTGAGTCTCCCACGTGCCTTTATCAACCTCCAGTCGGGCGGGAGCTGCCAAAGGGATGGAGGCCTCTCCGAGAGGTTCAGGGCTCCCTCCAGCGTGGCGCCACCACCGCCTGACAGAGCTTGGAAGGGTGGGGAAAACGAGGTGAGCAGATAGGACCCATGCTCTGACTTTGGGTCCTGGAGCCCCACTTGGAGGGGTAAGAGCCCTCGTGGGGGTCACGTGTCATTCCACAGCAGCCTGCATAGAGGTCAGCGAGTGAGAGAAAACGTCTGGAACCTTCTGTGCCCCCTCTTTGACCCAGAGGATTTGTTCTCCAATGAAACTGTTCACCCAGGGGGTTTATGTGATTTAAGCATTTAACTTTAATCACACAGTTGCGTTCCTACTTGCAGGAAGGATTATGTCAGCCCTTGGCTGTGAGAGAAGCAACTGAGTCTTGCTGAAACTGGACCCAAGGGAACGGGCAACACACAGCCTGTTTGGTGTGGGCGTGCTCAGGGGGATTTAAAGTTTCTGGCAGGAGACTGAAAGTTTCAGCCAGGCTTCCTGGAGTTCCAGCAGAAAGTGGATGCTTAGGTAGCCCGAGATGCCACCAGCCTCGGACAACCCCCCACCATGTGTGCGAACAGCAGCTCTTGGGGTGAGGATCTGCGGCTTCCACTGGGGATGGACTGATGATGACCTGGACTCCCACTGTCCCTCTCTGGAGGTTGTGCAGAGATCGACAAGGACTTGTGAACTCTAGAGACTGGAGAAGTGTCATATGTTTAGGATGCACGGAAGGGCCCATGCAGAGGAGGGGCATGACCAGAGGAGCTCTCCAGGTGGAAGCATCGATTCCTCCCTGAGGCCCGGGATTTCCCAGGTTGCCGAGCTCTCTCTCTTGGTTGAGATGTCACTCCCACCCCCACAGCCTGCCCCATCCCACTCTCATGGTGGTGCTGGCTATTGCCGTGGGCAAGGTGGCTTAGCAATGTCAGATGTCCCTGCCTCACTGTTGATGGATTGACCCCACCAACCCCCCTTCACCAGTTCCACACGCGTACGTGGCAAATTTGGTGAGCCTGGCAGAGCTTTCTAAGAATTTGGGGATCACAAGAAGTCTTGTCCTGTTGCAGCCAGCATTCCAGTCTTGCTCTCCCTTCCCTTCTCCTCTGAACACATATTCCTCTCCACTCACAGTGGTTGAGTAATTGCAGGCTGTTGCTTGAATGTGCCCTGGATCCCCACCCTGTGGACATTTTTGCCCCCCCCCCAATCCCTTCCTCTCCACTGTCTCAAGCTCTCTCTGACCCCCCATCTTCTTTCTCTACCCCTCTCAAAGAGCTGGAACGGCCAGCTCTGCTCTGACCACACATGTGGGGTCGTTTGTTCGGGTTGGTCCGAGAACTGTCCTTTCAAGTGTCCAGACCCTTTCAGCAGCAGCAGTGGAGGGAGAGCTTGGCCCTGAGTTGGGGGAAGGGCCGGCTGCTGGGTCCAGCCAGGTCTGCAGAACAGTCCCGATGAGGTTTCCAATCTTTCACGTCTCTTTCATTATGTTTTCCAAATACTTCCATGCCAACGAAGTAGAACTTTAACACACTTCTCAGTGCATTGTGACCTGAGTCATACAGAGCTGCCCTGGAAGTTTTGTGCAGCCAGGCTTCCTGGAGTTCAGGCAGAAAATGGATGCTTAGGCAGCCTGGGCAGGAGTGAGAACCATCGTGGGCACATGACCCACTGGGGGCGTGGGTGCAGCCAACACAGGCAAGCTTCGATCAGGCCTGCACAGGCAGCCGCCTGCCCACTAGGGCTATGCCATCTCCCACCTGTTAGCTCCACTCCCCACACAGCCTGCAGGGAGGGGGAGAACCCCCATGAGCTCATTGGGGGCCTGCTGGCTTTGGGGTTCAGTATGCAGGGTGTACCTGGTGATTGGGAGCTGTGTACCATGGCGTTCTCACAAGTGGTGGCAGCACTGGTACTTGGCCCTCAAGGCCTCTCTGTACCTTCTGGGTGGCTCTAGGTCAGAGGTGGGAAACCTTTTTTTTCTGCCAAGGGCCATTTGGAGATACATATATGGTCATTCCTCACCTGAGGACACTTTCCTATTGATTTTTAGAGGGGGGGGGGGTAGAGAAACATCTATTTGAGACATCGATTGGTTGCCACCCACACGCCCCCTGATCAGGGCCGGGGATTGAGCCTGCAACTGAGAGGCATGTGTCCTTGACCAGAATGGAACCTGAGACCCTCAGTTTGTGGGTTGACACTCTAACCACTGAGCAACCCACCAGAGCCCATTTGGATATTTATATCATTTTTTGGGCCAAACAAAATTACCAACTTAAAAGTTAGCCTGCTATCTTTGGTCAAATATTTAAGTAACAAACACCTAATGCCTTAGCAGGGTCAGACCAAATGATTTCACAGGCTGTAATGGCCCGTGGGCTGGACGTTTCCCACCCCTGCTCTAGATGGTACTTTTTGCCCCAAGCCCATGTGGTGGCCCCAATGCCTGGGAGTAGAAGGCCCCTTTTGGGTCCCCAAGGCCTCCAGGTCCAGCCTTTGTGTGCTGGAGCCCCTGGCCTGGGCTCACGTGACAGTTACTGTGGTCGGACCACTCACCCTTGCTGTGCCACCCCAAGACACCCTTCCATATCCAGGTCCCACCTGTCCTCAGGCCCTGGTCAAACACCAACATTCAGAATGGAGTTTGCTTGCATGAAGTGAGAGCTGTCTGTGGTAGAGCTGGTGTGGCACTCAGCCGAGTCCAGCTTGAGACCAGATACTCAAGAAAGTCCTGGAAATGAGGAAATGTGCTTGCCCCTTCCTCCCAGCCCAGCTGGCATGTCTCCTCCCTGACCTCCCGGGACTGGTCCTGGCAGCAACCAGTCACCTGTGGGCCAGCGACCAAGCTCTTCCCACCTTGGGGCTTGGCCTCGACTTCAATGTCCCTTCTAAGAGGCAGACTGGATTCTCCCTCTGCTCCTTGCCTCCCTCCCAACTGTCACCAGTGAGCATGTTATCAGGGGCTCTGGCCACCTTGTTTGGCCTCCAGGAGGCTGTGTCAGTGAGTGAGTGAGATGGATCAGCCCTCTCCAGGGGAGTCACACCCAGGCACATTCCTACTCCCAATATTCGGTGCTGAAGGAAAGAACAGGAAGGCCACCAGCAGTAATTATAATTCTGATCATTTTTCTTTAAAAACAAACAAAAGCCCCACCCCACAAGAAAAACAGAACTCCCTACCCCTAACCAGCAAATGTTACAGGTTAGCCATTAACACGAGAAGAGAAAGACATTGAAGCCGCGCACGTCATTACAAGGTGGAGGTTTGTCGCCGGGCCAATGACAATGTCACAGTGACAGCACTGCCGTGGCAGGGACACCGACAGGGACACAAAGACAGCAACAACATGCCGGAGAAGCCAGGCTGAACTGGACCTGCAAATAAATAAACATGGCGCCAACAGCATCCTTACGTTACTGAGGCCTTAGGACAAACTCGAACAGCAGGACACCTGAACAAACGCTAGCTGGTTACGCCGGGGTTTGGATAAAAAAATTAACCCTCCCACATGTGAACGCTCGGGACACTTGTCAGTAGAGTGGTCAGAAAGAGGGAGACTCTGCCTTCCCAGAGGCCAGCGCGGCAGGGCCCGGGGTATCCGCAGGCAAGCACCTCAGGATGCAGCCCTGACCTCCCTGCCTCCCCAGGTGGGTCCCTGGGCGACAGGCCCAGGAATCACAGAAGGGGCCCCCAAGCCACCCTCAGCAGAGGTCCCAGCCCAGACGCTGGGGAGAGCCACACTCTAGAACTGCCTTTGACCTCTCAGTGGCTCCTCTAGCCCTCACCTCCACGTGGGAAGGGAACCCTGGGGCCCCAGTCTACCCCTGCAGGGGTGACTTGCCTCAATTGTCCATGACACACTGGGGGTTCCCACCCGTTTGCAGGCTGCTGAAGCAGATCACGGTAGGGAGGCCACCCAAGGACCGTTTGGTTTCCCATAACCTGCAAGGCCATATCTACCCTCACAGCATCCCAAGGGCCCCCTGGAGCCCAGGTGGGTGGCAGCAGGCTGGATGGGCCATTCGAAGCTGAGCAATGAGGCCTGAGGCCTGAGGGCTCAGTTCAACCTCCCCCTGGGAGGTGAGTGGTCAGAGGCCAAGGCAGAGCCCTAGCACTTACGATGGGGCCTAGAGGACCTGACCTTAGCTGATGGTGCTTCCCAGGATGGCTTCCTGGACAGAGTGACAGCTCAGATAAGCCAGCCTCAGCTGCCTCCTGGGGGGCGGGGAGCCACCACAGGAGCCACAAGGACAAGGCCTGCTAGTAGCCTCTCTGGAGAGGAGGGCAGGCGTGCTGTGCTGCGAGCCAGACCCCTAGAGTCGGGCGGCCTCAGGAGCAGGTGCAGAGTTGGGGCACTGAGGAAGGCGCAGCTGTCCTCTGCTGACTGGGATCCAGTCTGGAGCAGGCCATGTTGGTGGCAGGAGGGGAGGGCACCCTGGCCAGGAGCTGAAAGCCAGCCCCAGACAGCCCCTGGGGGTTGCCATCCAGTCATGGAGGCCAATTCTGCGGACCCTGGGAGGGGCTGCCTTGGGGACCTGAAATGAGAAGCCCATCAGGGGTCTTGGCATCTGCCTTCCTGTCACATCTCTTTCCAGGCCTCACGCCTGGGGCTTTGTCTGAGAACTAGAGCTGGCTCCCAAATGATGCAGCACAGGGCGGGAGGCAGCATCCGCGGGAGGCCCTCCCACCGGAGATGCCCAATCCTCCTGCCTTTGTGCCTTTGCTCAGGCTGCCATGCAGGGCAGGAAGCACAGTCAGGAGCCCATGGCAACTTGAATGACAAGGGCCTAGCCCAGGAACCGGCCCTGCTCTGCTCGTCCTGGCAGGACCTCTAGGATCGTCCAGATGCCCATGACCTCTACCAGGAGCTCCACCCAAACACCAGGCACAGGAACTGGCTCTTTCTGTAGAGCTGGGGCTGGTATCAGACTCCTCTCAAGCCCTTTGCTCTCCAACAAACCTCTCCAAAGACGGCCGTTTCAGCAAGACTTTCTCTTCTTTTTAGGGGTCAGGGAGGGAGGGATCGACCTCAGGTCTTTAAGGCAGAGACATAAGCCCCAGGTTAGTTTTCCCAATGTCACTACATCTACTAACCAAAAAAAACAAAACAAAACAAAACAAAAAAACACCTAAGGAAGCCAAGCACACATCTGTCAGTGCAAATCTGAGGCAGAGTCTCGGTAGCTTATTGGCAGCTGGGGTGTTCGGCTCTCAGAATCCCTCCTCCGCCTGAAGCTGGTGCTGGGGTCACACCAACGACAGGACCTGGTCCCTGAGGCACATCATGCTGCTGGCAGTGTTAAGGGACAAGAGTCTCCCTACCTGCCCTCCCCCCGTTCCTTTAAAAAATAATCATCTTGGTGGTGTCAAGTCGACCCCAAAATTTAAGTTAAAAAATAATACAAAAAAAGGAGGAAAAAACCCCACAAATAAACAAAGGTGGGAAAGGACAAGGGCCCAACATGGAAAAAGTCCGCGGTCTGTCAGAAGGCGCAGCCCCTTCTCAGTTCAACATTCGTGCCTCGCACTCTGGAGGAGGTATCGATAGAAGTCCGTCTTCTGGGACTAAATTCGTACCAGTTTTCACAGTGGCCCTGGCACCTGAGCTGGTGGAGGGATAGTGCGGGGCGCTCAGCTGAGCTGCCTGGATGATGGAACGGGTTGCCTTTTAGGTGGGTGAGTTGTTTTAAAATGATCTTTGTGTATTTTCCATCCACCAGCTTCCCGGCTCCTCTCTTATGTCTCCTGGGGGACCACTTGCATGAGCTTCTGGCAAAGAACTGTCGTGGAGACTGCAGGGGAGGGGAGAGCAGAGTTACTCGGGGGTTGTGCTATCATGTGCCTGGGGGCCAGGGGCACCAGGGAGTGCTGAGAGCTGCAGGTCACCCGGCCTCATGGCACCAGACCCCCAAGGTGGCAAGAGAAGCCAGAGACCCAGAACTTTATGTAAAACCTCCTGATCTGAAAATGTGTACACCAGGCTCAAGGGGCTCCCTCCTGGTGGGCACCAGCCTTCACTCCAGGTTGGCCGCAGAGGAACGCCTGCTTCTTCCAGTGACTTTGTAAGTCACCCGGGGGGTGTGGCCAAGGAACTTGGCATTAGGTTGAGCACTGGCCCTGCCCATCACCCTGTTTCAGAACCCTGGGGTTATGGCAGCAATAATCCTATATAATAAAAGAGGAATGTTAAATAGCTGTTATGTCCTGAGGCATAACGACCAAGTGCATCAGGACCAGTCAGGACCAGATCACGGATCAGCAGGAGGGTAGGCCGGGAGGGGGGGGGGGGGGCGAGGAGCTACAGGAGTGTGCAGGGCTACTAGTGGGATAATAAGTCCTGATGCTGAGGGCCCTTCCCGTGTGTCCACACCCGGGCCACCGCCTGGCAGACACCCAGGGCCAGAACAAGGCTGCCCCCACTGCCAGATGACAGCCACGTGCCTGCAGTCCACAGAGGGAGTGGAGCAGGCGGGTGTGTGCCGGGGGCCCAGATGAACACTTTGTGGGGTGTGGTTTCAGGACACAGGGCTTGCATTAGGGTCTGGTGTGTTCTGCAAGATGATTAGTAGGGAGTCTAGCCTGGCCTGGAGGCTAAGGCCTGCTGAAAATGACTGACCATGTTTCCCATGTTTAGATCAGGAGGTTTCACATAAAGTCACAGGGCAGGTAGCAATCAGATTTTGGAGAGCCACCAGGACATGGTGATTGGGGTGCAGGCTTGCAAACACCAGCGAGTGTGCCAGGAGCCGGCCATATTAAGAGCGGCCTCAGTACGGGCTCCTAAACGTGCTGGTTAGTGGGCCCTGTGACCACAGTGCAGAGATCCTGCTTTCTCCGCCTCTGCCTTTCTGGGTCAGCCTTGTGCTTAGGCTGGCGACAGCACTGGGATTTTGTTACTTGGCAAAAGCGGCCTGGTTTTCTGGAATCCCTTGTTCTGAGATTAGCTGGTGCCAAGCTGAGCGTCTTATCCCTGAAATACATGGGCCAGACGTCACCGCTAGACATGCCAAGTGCCTGAACGCCCAGCTAAGGGATTAGATGAGACAGCAGACAGCGAGCTGGGGCGGGGCGCTGGTGGGCCGGCAGGGAGGAGAGCGGCCCCAGCTGTCAGGCTGCACTGAGGAGATACTCACAAATGCCCTGGAGAAGCCACTTGGGCTTGTTTTGCCACCGGACCCCGAGGAAGTAGACCGGGAGGCCGCTGAGGATGATGGCAAAGCCGATGCCACACTCAACGGGGGTCTTCCAGAAGGAGACGGCGATCAGGAACAGGCAGGCCAGGATGAAGAACACGGGGAGTGCCAGGTTCACCTGGGGACAGAGGGCGGAGCGATGGGCATCTGTTGCTCCCTTCCCACACCTCCCACGTCCTGTCATCACAGTCCTGTCCGCTCTGCGGAAAGTGCTGCGTCCCCACCGCCCTCCTGACCTCGATGGAGTCATCTCCACATCAGGCCCAGTTAGGCGCTCCCATGGGACCCCCCAGAGCACACCCTGTGCCTCCTGCTCCAAGCCCATCCCTCCCACCTGGTCCAAGAACAGCTCCGACCTCCCGGAGCCGTCACTCGGGCCTGTCTCCCTCTTCAGCATTTACCAGTCTGACCTGCCGGCTGGGGACTCTGGAGACCTGAAACCTCCCCCTGTTCTCCGTTTCCTCAGCACAAGGCGCCAGGCAGTAATTACCCAGAGCACAGACGGTGCCGACAGAAAACGCAAACAACCCTCGAGCTTCCCAAGGTCAGGGGATGTGGACCTTGCTGGCTCCCACATCACAGGGCAGAAACCCTGGCCCAGCACCCATTCACCAATGTCACCCAAGGCGGGGGCATTTCTGGGAAGACCCCGGCACCCACTAATAAGTGAGGGGCATCTGCCTTCTCAGAGAGCCTTTGTGAGGAGGCTGACTGCAGCCTGCACAGCTCGGGCAGACCAGCCACAGAGGCGCCCCCGGCCCGGCCCAGCCCGGCTCCAAGGACCATGTCCTGCTTCTGCATCTGCGTGGGCTTGTCTACACACAGACTTGGCCATCTGCCCACACACTGCAGATGAAGGGCAAGCCAGGGCCCCACCTGGTCAGCCCACACTGCATGCCCCTCCCCAGCCCAGGTTAACAGTGAAACAAAGCCCCACCATGTGCCCAGGATAACACAGGACAGAGCCCACCACAGGCACAGGTGACATGGTGATAGAACCCACCATGTGCCCAGGATAACACAGGACAGAGCCCACCATAGGCACAGGTGACATGGAGATAGAACCCACCATGTGCCCAGGATAACACGGGGATGGAGCCCACCACAGGCACAGGTGACATGGAAATAGAACCCACCATATGCCCAGGATAACAGAGGACAGAGCCCACCATAGGCACAGGTGACATGGAGATAGAACCCACCATGTGCCCAGGATAACACGGGGACGGAGCCCACCACAGGCACAGGTGACATGGTTAGAACCGCCATGAGCCCAGGATAGCATGGGGACGGAGCCCACCACAGGAGGGAGCAAGGTGCTCCAGGGCACTAAGGTTGCTCTGGTGCCCAAGAACCTCTTCAAGGCAGGGAAGCGGGCCCTGCTGCCTCTGTGGACCTGCTGGGTGGGGCAGACAAGGATGTGGCCCATGGACAGGTGACTCTAGGCCAAATGCCACTAGGGACTGGACAAAGGACATCAGCCAGTGGCCCCCATGAGTTCCTCCCTCTCTCTCCCTGACAGGCTCACAGCGACGAGCTCACTGGGCTTCTCCAGCAGAAGCGTGGCTTCACTGGCCTGTTTTTTGAGAAACAAGGTCACCCTTGGGCAGCTGTCCCCCGAGGAGAGGGGCATTCACCTTAGGCCAGGCCCAGCTGGCACGTCAGCAGTCTAATGCTACAACTGCTCCATTCAATGCGGCAGAGCTGGTCTTGGCCATGTCTACACCCTTCGGGCTCAGACGTCACCTCCCACCCACCACAAATGACCTCCCCCTCACACCCTTGGCAGCACCCTCTGAACACACTTGGCCCCTACATCTCTGCCCACATGCCACCTTCACAGGACCACCCAGCCATCCTGGTCAGCTGCCCCCTGGCCAGTTAGGCCCTCACCCTGCCCACCTGTCCACCCCACAGTGCTCATCACCTGCCCACTGGGCACTGAGGGTTCTTATTTATTGCCTTGCGTACCAGGACCCTCTACAGGAGGCATCCTGACCCCTGGTTCAGAGCGGAAATGGCAACTCCAAGAGGGGCGGTGGCTTGCCCAGGCACAGGCCGGGAGGGCAGAACCAAGAGGCTGTGCAGAGTTGGCTCCTCACAAAGGCTGTCAGGGACACCTGGACCCCGTTTCTCCAGCGCATGACCCACCGAGCCCCCAGCTGTTGGGGCTGCGCCAGGCCTGGGCCGCCCACGCGGCTGGGCCCTCACCTTGATGGGCCGCTCCAGCTCAGGCTTCTTGTATCGGAGCCACAGCATCCCGATGATGGCCAGGGCCACACACAGCCAGTTGAAGAAGCTGAAGAAGTTGATGACGGAGAAGATGTCGTTGGAGAAGGCGTATAGCAGGGTCATGAGGCACTGCAAGCAGAGAGAGGGGGCAGCGTGAGCCAGGAACAGGACGGCCTGGAGGACGGAGGCCACCGGCGCTGGGACACGTCTGCAGGGCTGACAGCACTTGCGCACTCGTGCTTTAAAGGAAAGGCCCCACTGAGAGCGGGAAGGAAACGAAGGCCTAAACCCTGTACTCACTGCAGCGTTACCTGTAGAAGCAATGACTGGGAACCAACTAAGTACCCATTACGGAGCTCTCCCAGACCCCCAGCCACCGGGCACCCACAGGAGTTTCAAAACTGAGCCAGGACTCTGCATGGTTTCTAACGTGTCCCGGAACCATCCAGTACTTCTCCCTTCGCAAGGTGGAGCTTTGCCCTCTCTCCTTGAGTTGGGCTATACATACTGACTCATTCCTAACTAACAGAACAAGACAGAAATGACAAGTGTGACCCCGGAGGCTAGGTCATAGAAACAGGGTTCCTGGCTCTTCCTCTCGGCTCCCTCGCCCTGGCTTGCAGCCCTGTGGACAAGCCCCCGTCCTGAGGAACTGAGGCCTCATGCTCACAGCCACGTGAGGGGCCATGCTGGAAGCGGCTCCTCCAGCCCCGGCCAAGCCTTCAGATGGGACGCAGCCCCGACCACCATCTTGTTACCACCTCACGAAGGACCCTGAACCAGGGCCACCCAGCTAAGCTGCCCTGAGTTCCTGACTCACAGAAACAAAGAGACAGTGAATGCTTTCCGTTTCCTGGGTGGTTTGTTACAGAGCAATAGAGAACTAATAAGACGTTAGGCAAGCTGAAGAGAAGCGTGCACAATGTGACCTCACTAGAAATTGCACGTCTGTTAACATGCCCCAGAAGTCCAGAGGCACGGAGCACGCAAAGCCGCCTGTGAACCGTGGCTCCCTGGGAGAACAGAGCAGAGCTTCTGCTCCACAGATGCTGGACTGTTTGAAGTTTTTTTTATAACTACCGTGTATTATTGTTGGAATTAAAAACTTAAACCAGTGCCCTTTGTTGTTCAGTGGAGCAGGCAGCCAAGGGCACAATACAAGGAAACACTCAGCTAACTTATCTGCATCTCGGTCTCCGCCTTGGTCTGCTGTCCAGTTGACACCAGGCAAAGGTGGGAGGGTGTCATGCAGACGGACCCTGGAGCCTCCCCTTCTCCCCCAGGAACACCCCAATCTTGTACTTTAATCCACTTGTAATCCTCGCGGGGAAGAAGGGCATCAGATGGTGCTGCCAGCTTACCGTGAACAGGAGGGAGGGCATGGGCGTCAGGAGCTGCGGGTGAATCATGGAGAGGACAGAGGGCAGGTGGCCCTCCCTGGACCCCACAAAGAACAGCCTGTGGACAGAAAAGCAGGCGGTGGGCCTCATCACCGAGCACCCAGGCAGGGGCCTCTCGGTCTCCCTGACCCACTCAGCTGGCAATGGGGAGACCAGAGGCTTGCTCACCTGCAGCCCCCCTCCCCCTGGGCAGGGCACACAATGAAGCCATGACAGTTGATTTTCCTTTGTTAAATGACATTTAAATATATAAAATAAATATCAAAAATATAAGTCTTTGTTTTACTATGGTTGCAAAGATCAAAAAATTTCTATATGTGACAGCACCAGAGTTAAGTTAGGGTTTTTCAAAATGCTGACACGCTGAGCTCAAAAGGTTCGCCATCACTGGCCTAGGACACAGCAGTTGTGTCTTCTGGGCAGCGGAGAGTCCCTGGTTCCTTTACTTCTGTGTTACATGGATGTGTTGTCAGCCACATATTACTCAATATAACAAACAGACACAACCTGTAAAGCTCATGTTAAAAAGCAGCATGCAGCACTGGCCCCCAGCTCAGCCTCCCTCCCGGTCCTGCCCTGGCTCCCACAGAGCCGAGTGGGGAGCGTGGTCCTGGGGGGCTCACCTGGAGGACGTGAAGAGGGACCCGTTGACGGAGCCGAAGCAGGACAGGCCCACAAAGACAGGGATGATCCAGGACATGACGCCCAGGTGGTAGTTCCCGAAGTCCTAGACAGACGCCGCATAGTGAGCCCGGCCCCTTGATGCCCAGCACGCGGCCCAGTCTGGTCCAGCCCCAGGCCACTAGTCTGCACGTGTCCCGCACACTCGTGAGGATTCTGCGCACGTGACCCCCAGGGTCTGGATGTGAGGGCTGTCCCGGGGACAGAGTCCTCTTTAGAACAACACTGGTGCCTGGTCCTCATCCCCACACACTGACACCTCTCACCCTGCATTACACCAGGTTGCCCAGGTGCCCGGCCTTTCCCGTCTGTGTCTGCTCTGCTAGGGAACATGGCTTTGTCTCTGGCTGGGCCCCCATCGCCCGACCCAGAGCAAGGCTCAGTGAGGATTTAATCAGAAGGTGGAATGGGTGGGCGCGGACCCTCACCTGCCAAAGTGGCTGTGAGGACACCATGGGAAGTGAGCCTACAGGGCCAGCAGGACATTCCAAAGCCTGCTCATACTACTTAGGGCCCCATTGTGGTTTGGAGGCTGGTGAGCGCTCTGCTGCTGCCAGCATGGGGCCTGGGATGCTGCTCTCCCTGCTCTGAACCCGTGTCCAGAACGCCCAGCAGAGGTGGCTCAGGATGCATGTGGGCAGCGGGTGGGAGAAGGCCACCTGGCTTTTCATCCCAGTGCTGGGGTTCAGGCCTCACTTACAAGGACTGGACCTTCCAAATCACCATAATACCGCCCCCTTACCTCTACCACCACCACCCCCGCCCCGTAGTTGACTTTTAAAATGACTAAGGCCCAGATGACCACAGGCTGATTTTTAAAACTGGCCCAGGGTATGGTCTGGGCATCAATACATTTAAAGCCCCTGTGATCCTCACGGGCAGCCAGGGTTGTGAGTCAGCACCCTGCACTCTCTGGCTTGGCAGCACAGCTACCCCCTCCTCACAGGAGCGTGGTTTGCAGCCCAGGGGCCTGGTCTGCTCCACATCACAGGCTCAGGGCGGCAGGGCTGGGCCTTGGTCTCTCGGCAACCTGCGCAAACACTGGCAGGTGGCATCTTACCACGGCCACAGCCTCTGACGACAGCATCTGCTCAGTGGACAGCGTGGTGAAGTAGGCCAGGTTCGTCAGCACGTACACCAGGGTGACGATGGGGAGGGAGATGATGATGGCCAGGGGCAGGTTTCTGGAAGGAACGAAAGGGCACATCATCAAAGTGCAGCTCCAGGCGAACCAGCCCCGATGGCTCTCTAATACACAGGTCTGGTCCTGAGCCTCACTTCGTGGGGGAGGTGTGACGGAGAGGCTGTTGCCAGCTCCGGTCCCTGGCACTGGAAGCTGGCGCCTGGGGTTGGGCAGCTGTGTGAACCTGGGTTAGTGACCCTGGTCTCAGCTCCCCATCTGTCAGATGGGCACTCCTGCTTATTCTAAGGGGAAATCTTGTTCAAGGCCACACAGTGCCCCCTCACCCCAGCCTGATCCTAATCCAGGGCCCCTCCCGAAAGGACCTGCACTGCTTTCACCTGAGATCGGGCTGGGCCCCATGGATGAATTCTTAGGTAGAACCGACTTCTTCCTTCTCTCACATTAAAATAACAACAAACAACGTCTCTGTTCACACACGTACCTGTAGGGGTTGATCATCTCCTCTGTGACAAGATTCAAGTAATTCCTAGACGTTAGAGAGCAGAGTTTAAGTATACATCCCTCCCACAGTTCTTAGGGGGAAAAGAGCAGATTCCAGGGGGAGCCCTGCTGGCTGTTCTGGGCCAGTGGAGGAGGCCCCTCACCCACCACCTGGGGCCCCGCTAGTGAGCAGCTGGGGGCAAGAGCCCAATCCTGCTCCCGTGGGAAAATCCTAACCCCTGCAGGCCTGTCCTCTCTCTGACCCTTCCACCAGCACCTTCACCGCCTGTCCACCCACCACATGCAGCCATTCTTGTGGCCCAATATAATCTGGCTGGAGAGTGGGGCCCAGCGGGGACCCAGCAGGAAGGAAAGTGTGTGTGTGTGTGTGGGGGGGGGGGGGGGTGGGGGAGGGGGGAGGTGTGAAGTTGTAGGCAGGCACTCCGTTCCTGGAGAGGGGGAAGTTGAAAACCACCAGGCCCAGCCTTTTAAGCTCAAAAGCTTCACTCTCCTCAGCAAAGGCTTATCTACAGGACCGCCTTCCAGGAGCCCAGACACTGGAGAAAAGCCAGGCTGCTGCGCTGTCCTCTCTGTGCTTTCTCGGGATGGGTCGGGTTCGAGCAGCTCTGAGAGGCTCTCCTGCCACGCTCAATAACTGCCCAGGGGGGTGGCCGAGAGATTCAGATTTCTGGACACCTCAGGGCCTGCTCCGTGTGCCCCAAGGCCCAGGGAACCAGACATTCTGAAACGTACCATCCCCCATAGGCAAAGAGGCCGCTGTACAACGCCAACACGATGTTCCCCACGTTCAGTTTGGTGCCTTCAAATGAGAACTTGGGATCCAGATTGGACACATTACCTGGCAAAGGCCAAAGAGACAGAAAGGCATGCTGTGTTAGAGAGGGCTGCATAGGGGTCATGCTGCAAGTTCCAGAACGTTCCTGGAGCAAATTACAGTAACAAACAACAACACTGGGGTGAAAGCTTTCCACTGTTACAAATTAAATGCACCTGCTGAGCCACTGACGCACACATTCCTGACTCGCCTGGGGCCAGGAGCCCCAGCAGGTGACGAGGTTT